CCCCAAAACCCCAAAACCCCAAAACCCCGCGAATATGGATTTTAGACAAATAAGCGAATGTAATAAGTTGGAAAAATTTTAAATTTTCATCTCATTTCATATTCATCTCAAATCAATTATTTATTGTTTATAATTCTAGTTATATTAATATGTCAGATAACTTTTTATTTGGAGACGGTAGTGAAGAGGATGAAAGAGATCCACCCATTACTGCCTCTGACCGATAGAAACAACAAAGGTCAAAGCAAAACAAAACAAACAAAAAGTAAGCCAAATTTCTAAAAGACTCTAATAATAATGAGTTCTTAGGAGTCAAAAAGAGATCGATGAATATCAGAAAGTTTTCTCTGAAAAACAAGAGGCTAGAAAAGCTAAACGTGGCTGGTGGGGTAAAAAGGGTTAGCAAGCCCCTTTAGCATCTGATGTACTGAAAGATGAGGAGTCCAAGATCGCAAATCCTGAGAGATATGAGAAAAATCATGGATCCGGTGACTACGAGGAAACCAAATAGATCGGATAGAAAAGATAATTCTCGATCCTTAAGGAGATCAAAGACGACCAAAATTTCAAAGCTTATTTAAACAAGTTCTACGAACTTAAGAAGAAATCGGCGTCTGAGGATGAGGTTGCTTAGTATGACAAAGAAGATGACTATGGAAACATCGAGTACAAGTTAAAACTTGCAAATCCCTCGATTGAGAGAGTTGAGCATTTAACTACGCAAATGAAGTTCCGATTGGAGGTAAGTACATTTGAAATGAACTAAAACTGATATCCAAATTATATCTTCTAAAATTCAACGGCTGATCCTTTCATAGGAAGGTAACGGCCAAGCTTTTTACTAAATTGGAGTTGAAGATAATGGAAATCCGCTAGGTCTAAATCATGAGGAAATGAAGGAGTCACTCGGAACTCTCTTTTTTATGGCGAGAAATCTAAATGCTTAACTAATGGTAACCAAAGTCAAAAAGGGTAAGGAGGGAGAGATTTGCGAAGTCAAGGTCAGAAGGAATGAGATCGATGGAATCAAGATCGACATAAAAATCACTTTATTAGGTGGTGAAGGTGCTGGCAAAAGTACACTTATAGGAGTCCTTATTAGTGGACAGAAAGATAATGGTAAAGGTCAAGCTAGGACCAATGTTTTCAGACATAAACACGAAATCCTTGATGGAAGGACCTCATCGATTTCTTAGCAGATTTTAGGGTTTGATGCCTAAGGTAAAGTCACAAATTAATCTAAATTTGGGTCTATTTCATGGGCTTAAATTGTAGAGCAAAGCTCCAAAATCCTTACTTTCATTGATGTTGCAGGAAATGAAAAATATGCTAAGACAATGATTAAGGGAATCTGCAGTCATTATCCTGATTATGCTTTGATTATAGTTGATGCCAAGGCAGGACTTACACCAATAACAGTTGACCATATTAAGCTAGCTTTTGCTTTCAATGTTCCAGTTGTTATTGTAATTACCAAAATCGACTTAGTCTCTGAAGACCAACTATTTGATACTCAATAAGAGCTCTGTGATTTGTTGAAAGAAATTACAAGCAAAATCCCTATCATTATAAATAATGAGGAAGATGTAGTCTTATGCAGTAGAACAATATAGGAGGAAAGTATATGTCCAGTATTTTTAGTTTCTAATACTAGCAGAAATGGTCTTGAGCATTTCCTTAGTTTCCTCAATTTGCTTCCAATAAACACTTAGAATCAATGGAAATAAAATCAAGATGATTCTCCTGAGTTCCATATAACTGAAACTTTTGATAAGGATGGAGAGCCTATTTTATCTGGCATGGTACTTAAAGGCTAAATAAATGTGAGACAATTGCTGATGCTTGGACCTAATAACGATGGAAGATTCACAAAAATTGAGATTAAAGGTATTCATTGCAAAAGAGTTCCAGTAAGATAAGTAAAAGCAGGATAAATGTGCTCTTTTGCTATAGGTTTTGGCACATTCTCAGATAGTTGGCTTAAAAACTGCGGAGGATAGATAAGAAATGGCATGGTTTTGGTTGATCCAAAGTCAAAGCCTAGGTCTACTTGGACATTTAGTGCTGAGATCTGGACTTTTGATGGCTCTACCAAGATTATCAAGAATAATTACCAGCCAGTTATTCACGTAGGACACATAAGACAATCAGCTAAGATTATTCTTGATAAAAATCACCTGAAACCATTAGAGGATGAGTCAACAAAGAGAGCCACATCAATAGATGAATTTCACAGATCAAACCCTACCTCATCAGAAGAAGAAGAAAAAGGTTAGAAAAAGAGAATAAAGACATGCCTTTCAGAGGATCAAATGGTTTAAACCAAACCCAGCTAATCATATAAGCAATCGAACTTTAAGTCCCAAAGCCCAACATCAAGTAGTTCTTTTTCAAATAAAATCGGTGCTGCCAAGAAGCCTAAGAAATTAGTATAAAACTTCCTCCCAAAGGATAAAGAGCTCTTTGATGAAATCTAAATCAGCTCAATGAGAAAGACAAAAGTGATCCTTCAGTTCTTGTACAATCCTGAATACCTCTTGAAAGACTCTTACATAATCATAAATGAGAACAATCTGAAGGCGTTCGGTAGAGTGAGTGAATTATTTTATGATACCGAAAACACCAAGCTTTACACAGACAAAAACCTTGCTGATAACAAGAAGAAAAGAAAGAATTCAGTTCCTCCCCAAGTATTTGCAAACTTGATAGGAGGTTCAGAGGAGACCAAAAGCAATGACGATGCATATGAGTCGCCTACGACGAAGAAAAATCAGCGTAGTCGGAGAACTTAGCAGAGTCACTCCATGTGCATTACTGAGCTCATAGAAGAGTCAAGGTAATGAATGCGAACCTGAATCCTTTCTGAGTGACTCTGAATTTAAATTTAGAGATTCAAACTTAAACCCACTTCAGATTTAGTCAAGTTTACAATTAATTAAAGCTACTAAGTCTAATATATTCAGAGTATGAAAATCGATATCAAAATTACTAAAGAATGAATATCAAACTTATACAGCTTGATTTGAGATGTGATACTTAGACTAAAATCTTTACTAAACTTTAATTCTATACATTATTTATAACAAATTTAAAGCTAATCATCACCTGCGGGGTTTTGGGGTTTTGGGGTTTTGGGGTTTTGGGG